AAAAAAAAAAAAAAAAAAAATTAGCATTGGGCAGAAATGCACAGGAAGTGGAAGTTTAATAATCCTTTTCAGAGCCGCGTGTTCAGCTGTGTATGAAAGAAGTCTTCCCATGCCTTCAGAGGTCCCATTCCAGTGAGACTGTTTTCAGGTGTGAAACCACCTGCCACCTGCCGTCAGCACGGTTGGGAACGTCAACATGTCTAAATGGGGACCCACAGATGGGGGTGGGGACAGATGGCGGACAGCAGTAAAATGCAACAACCTGATCCATGCAAGAAGGTTCCGGGTTTGCACCCAGAGACCTCTGAGTGAGCCAAGCAGATGCCCAGGACCCAAGAACCTGGGGCTGGCTCAGGGATCTTACTGAAATTCTCTCTCCCTCTCTTTCTCTGTCTTTCCCACTGATGGAAGAAATAATCAACGTTTTTTGTTTGTTTTTTTTTTCTATAGGGTGTGTGCACTTGCTGGAGACAGAGAGACGGAGAGAAATCCTCCTTAGGGGGGATGGCCAAGCCGCTACCCCTTCCCTAGTCTTCTCTCACGATTTTGGGTAACCACCCACACGGACCCCGTGTGTTTCAAGCCACTGGGTCCAGGACTCAAACCACAGTTGGCCACGTGGGAGTCCAGAGCCTTAACCTGCTGGCCCTTAAAATAATAAACTTTAAAAACTAAAAAAAAAAATAATCAGGGGACCGGCATGGTGGTTAAGGCCCTGGATTCCACCTTATCAGCCACTGGCAGGTTTTACGATGGAATAAACAATGAAAAACAAACACGGGGGCCAGCAGGTGGCGTGGTGGTTAAGGTGCTGGACTATCACATAGCCGACCACCAGTCAAGTCCTGGACCTGGCAGCTTGAAAGTCATACTGGAGAATGAATGAATAAATAAATAAATCTAAAAAAGAAAATCACATCAGATATGTAGGCATGCGTGCCCCAAATCCCAGGAGGACAATGGAAAAGGGATTATGTCTCGGTCATTCCTCGACGATGGCCCTCCCACTGTCTCTCTCTCTCTCTGGAGAGCACATGTACCCTATGGCAAAACCCTTAAGAAAAAAATGAATGGGGCCAGCAGGTGGCGTAATGGTTAGGGTGCTGGAATCCACCTGGTCAGTGGCTGGGAGGCTTTATGATAGAACAAACAATGAAAAACAAAAACCAGAACATGAAGCTGTGCTTCAGAACAGCAAGGCTAGAAAAGTCTATTAAAAAAGAAATAAAGGGACCAGCAGTTAGCGTAATGGCTATGTCGCTGAACTCCCATGTAGTTGATCATGGTTTGAGTCCCGGACTGAGTGGCTTAAACTCACACTGGGCGCGTGTGCGTGCGTGCCCAAGATCCCGAGGAAAATGGAGGAGAAGGGATTGTGGTGTGGCCATCCTTCCCGGGGGGTGATTTCTCGCTTTCTGTCTCTCTGTCTCTCTCTGTCTTTCTTGTGGTGAGTGCACGCGCCCTATAACAAAAGCCTCTCCAAAAAAAAAAAAACATGCTGGGATGGGGCCAGCAGGTGGGATGGTGGTTAGGGCGCCAGACTACCACATGAACAACCACAGTTTGAGTCCTGGACCTGGCGGCTTCCGCTTTCTCTTCTCCACCATCCCCTACCACGTCTAAAAATGATGATGATGAGTAAAACTGGGACCAGCAAGTGGCATGGCAGTTAAGGTGCTGGATACTCCACATTGCTGACCATGGTTCAAATCCTGGACCTCTCTCTCTGGTCAAATTAAAAAATAAATAAATAAATAAAATGAAATAAATTCTTATAAAATAAAAATTTCCTAAATGATTGGGAAAAAAAATGAATAAAATTAAATAATTCTTTAAAAAAAAAAAAAACACTACGCACATGTGTATGCATACCCAAAACCCTAAGGGGAGAACAGATCACAGTATGGTCTTCCTCAACAGGTACTTTCCTTCTCTCTGTCTCTTTCTGGTAGGGCGTGTACGCTCACCAAAGAGAGACAAAGAGACAGAAAGCAAGAAACCACCACCACCCCCCGGGGCGGATGACCATACCACAATCTCTTTTCCCTTCTCTTCTTGGGATCTTGGGCAGCCATACACACACACACACACACACACACACACACACACACACCAAGTGAGATTTTTTTTTTTAAAGGAATGACTTATTAATTCCATTTATTATTATTTTAGCAGAGACAGAGAGAAAGGGAAAGTGAGAAAGTAAATCACCAGGTCCGGGACTCGAACTGCTGGCAGCATGCAGGAATACAATGCCTTTATCCACCACGCTACCTGCTGGCTCCCTCAGTGTGAGTTTTAAGCCTCTGGATCCAGGGCTTGAACTGTGATCGAATACATGGGAATCTAGTGACTTAACTATTAAGCTATCTGCTGGTCCCAATAAATTAATTTTAAAACATTATTTTTTCAAGTTTACCAGAGAGGGAGGGAGGGAGAGAGAGAGAGAGGGAGAGAGGGAGAGAGGGAGAGAGAAAGTCAGAAAGCAAGCCAAGCCGCCAGGTTCATGACTCGAACCTTGGTCAGCGTGTGGGAGTCCCAGCACCCTTAACCACCAAACCACCTGCCAGCCCCCCAATAAATAAATTTTTAAAAATTAAAAAAGAAAAAAAAGGCAGCAGCAGCATTAGCACCGGCTTTAAAAAGACAGCAGGCCCACGGTGGAGCTAAGCAGAAATTTACACGCGAGCCATTCAGGGAAGGACCGGCCTGCCACTTTCCTTTTCCCTGATTTTACTCCCAGTCCTGGCGCCCTGATCAACCCGACCCTCTGCGATCCCCTCTGCGGATGGAGAGACCTACCAGAAGCTTCCAGCGGAAGGTATTTACGCTCCCAGCTACAGTTTCGGGGGCAGGGAGTAGAGGAGATTGAGAAAGCCCGTTCACTTACACCGGCGGGTTGCATCGGGGCGGGTTTTTTCTCTCGGAGACACTTATGGCTAGCTTGAGACATTTTGGGCTATCATGGCGGTGTGACAGCCTAGTGGGTGGAGACCAGGGAGGCTGCCAAACATCCCACAGTGCACCAGGCAGCCCCCGCAGCAAAGAACTACACCCGAAACGCGAGAGTGCGGAGGTGGAGAGAGACAACGGTAACCTTCGAACGGAGCTCAACTATTGAACAGTTTCCTTTTCTTAGACAGTCTGCAGCTCCTTCAAGTAAGAAGGGCCAGTCAGGGGGCATGGTGGTGGAGGCGGCTAGACTGCATATGGCTGACTGCACGGTTCAGGTCCCAGACCTGGAACCTTGAAAAACACAGGTGTGTGCGTGTCCTATGAGAGGGGAACGAGGTGTGGCCGTGGCGGGATGCTTTCTCACATTCTCCCTCTCCACCTCCATCTCCTCTAGCGAGCACATGCGCCCCACTGCAGATTAAAAGAACAAACAAACAAAAAGGACTGCAGAGAGAGGAGACAGTCACCTGTCACCCCAGAAAGAAGAACCCAAAGCCACCAAGCCTGAGCTGAGCCAATGACCCTATCAGCAATTAAATGAAGCACAGGCAACAATAAAAACAGCTCTCCAAATAAATTTTAAAAAGAGGGGGAGGCCTGGCAGGTGGCGTGGTGGTTAAAAGGCTCTGGACTCCCACATGGCCAACCACGGTTCGAGTCCCAGACTTGGCAGCCTGCTTTCTCTCTTGCTCCTTGTTTCTCTCTGGTCAAATTGAAAAATGATAATAGGACCAGCAGATGACATAATGGCTATGTCGCTGGACTCCCATGTAGTCGACCACAGTTCGAGTCTCAGACCCAGTTGCTTAAACTCACGGCGGGCGCGGGTGCATGCGTGTTCAAGATCCCAAGAGGAGAATGGAGGAGAAGGGATTGTGGCGTGGCCATCCCCCTTGGGGGGGGTGATTTCTCACTTTCTGTCTCTCTGTCTCTCTCTGTCTGTCTGGCGAGCGCACGTAACCTACAGCAATAACCTCTCCAAAAAAAAAAAAACGGTAATAAATAAATAACATGAATTAAAACAAAACAGCTATCCACATGCATCTCAAGCACTTCAGTGTACGGGTGGCACTGGAGCAATGACAGTACCCACTCCAGCACCAGCGCAAGCCTGCCTGGTACCACCACCGGGAAACGCTCTAGCCGCCCCCCTCACCCCAGCACCCGCTGCTGCCGTTTGTTTTGACTCAACGTAAAAACCGTGTGTCAGAGGAGGATGCCTGTCTGACATCCATCCCTGATTTAAATCTCCCACACCGATCAATGTGGAATGCAGACGCTGCCTGTGTAGGTGTTTCGATCTATTTTCATCTGTGTGAGAAGGGATTAGCATGTCTGGAAAAAGAATGAATTTTAAAGAGCTTGCTGGCAACGACACCAGACAAGCTGCCCGACCTGAGTCACCCGGGGCACTGTGTCGGGGCCCGGGTCACGCGGACCAGCGCGGTGGCCTACCTGGCTCGCCAGAGGCGACTGGATGTTCAGTTTGCCGTTCTTGGGGATGTCTATCCGATACCCCAAGGGGAGGAACGCGTTGAAGCCCACGATGAGGTCGGGGTGTTCGTGGAAGAGCTGAGAGACGCGTCTGATGACTCCAGGAGTATCGATGCTTCAAGAGAAAAAAAAGAACCAATGCGGGTGGGCAAAGGGTTTTGGAGAGCAAATTAAAAGAGAAATCAGTGTGGTGGTGAAAGTGCTGGATCCCACATGACCAACTGGGTGGTTCAAGTCCCGGACCAGGCAGCTTGAAAATCATGTTGGCAGGACCAGCAGTTGGCATAACGGCTACGTCGCCGGACTCCCATGTAGTTGACAATGGTTCGAGTCCCGGACCCGGCGGCTTAAACTCATACCAGGCGTGTGTGCGTCGTGCCCAGGATCCCGAGAGGAGAATGGAGAAGGGATTGTGGCGTGGTCATCCCCCCTGGGGGGGTGATTTCTCACTTTCTGTCTCGCTTTCTGGCAAGCTCATGCACCCTATAGCAAAAACCTCCCCCTTCCTCCCAAAAATAAAATCATGTTGGGCACATGTGTGTGAGTGCCCAAAATCCCAAAAGGAGAACAGAGACGGGACTGAGGGGTGGCCATCCCCTCAGGGGATTGATTTCTCACTTTCCTTCTCTTTCTTTCTCTCTAGTGAGCCCACGTACCCTATGGCATAAATAAATCTGAAACAAACAAACAAAAAAAGTAGTGAAGTTGGAGGCTGGCCTGATGGTTAAAGAAGCCAGATCCCACATGGCCGATTACCCAGTTCAAATCCCAGCCCCGGCAGCTTGGAAAACGAGCCAGATGCATACATGAACGTGCCCCAAATCTCAATAGGATAGATGAAAGGAGAAAAGACAGCTGTGAGGAACCAGCAGTTAGCGTCATGGCTATGTCACTGGACTCCCACATAGTCGACTGCGGTTCACGTCCCAGACCCGGTGGCTTAAAACTCGCGCCAGGCATGTGTGCGTGCGTGCCCAAGATCCCGAGAGGAGAATGGATTGCAGCGTGACCATCCCCCCTGGGAGGTGATTTCTTGCTTTCTGTCTCTCTGTCTCTCTCTGCCTGTCTGGCGAGCGCACGCGCACTGTAGCAATAAACCTCTCAAAAAAAAGAGAAATAAAACAAGGAGAGCTGTGACTTGGGGGTGCTTTCTCCTTCTTTATCTTTCTCTCTCTGGCTAGTACACATACCCTCTGGCAAATTAAAACCGAAACAAACAAAAAAAGTCAAAATCGAGGCCCAGCCCAGGTAGCTAGGGTACGCGGAGCTGGAGGTCAGCCTGAAATGCACCAAGCGTGCACCCTAAGCTGGTGGGCTGGGGGAAGGGGTCACGGTGTGATGAGACCCTATGAAAAGTGCTTCTCTCTATCATGTCCACGCACACGCTATCACGACTAAGAGTTTAAAATGCTGGGACCAGCAGGTGGCATAATGGTTATGTCACTGAACTACCACACAGTCAACCTGGGATCAAGTCCTGGACCCGGTGGCTTAAAAAAAAAATCAGGCTAAGGGACCAGCAGTTAGTGTAATGGCTATATCGCTGAACTCTCATGTAGTCAAGCGCAGTTTGAGTCCCGGACCCGGCGGCTTAAACTCACGCCGGGTGCATGTACGTGCATGCCCAGGATCCTGAGGGGAGAATGGAGGAGAGGGGACTGCGGTGTGGCCATCCCACCCCAGAGGGGTGATTTCTCACTTTCTGTCTGTCTGGCCAGCGCACGCGCCCTATAGCAAAAACTCTCAAAAAATAAAAAACCGCGCGGGGCCAGTGTATGTGCATTCCCAAAGTCCTGAGAGGACGATGGAGGAGAAGGGACTGCGGTGTGGCCATTCCCCCTTGGGGGGTGATTTCTCACTTTCTGTCTCTCTGTCTCTCTCTCTCTCTGGCAAGTGCATGTGCCCTATAACAAAAAATCCCTCTAAAAGAAAAAAAAAAAAAAAGCTTACCAAAAAGAAAGCAACTCTATTCCCAATGCCGTCCGTACTGCCATGTGACGAGCTCAGCTGACAACAAAGCCACCTACAATGTGACGGATGAGGTAGCACCTGCAGGTGACTGTCCATTCTAGGTCCCCCTGGCGAGAGCCTCAGACTGCTTCCGCAGTAGAGCTCCCCAAACACTCCAATCACATGTATTCCACTATAACAGAGCTGGGGAAGGGGCCAGCAGGTGGCACGGTAGTTAAGGCACTGGATCCCACGTGGCCAACTGTGCAGTTTGAGTCCCAGAACCAGTGGCTCAAAGAACACGCCAGGTGCACGTGTGTGTGTGTGTGTCCCAAGTCCCAAGAAGAAACTAATGAACTATAGTGTGGTCATCCTGCCAGAGGAGTGATTTCTCACTTTCCTCCTCCTGTCTTTGTCCCTCTCCGGCGAGTGTGTGTGCCCTGGGGCAAAATTAAATAAATAAAAATGATAGGGAGATGACCACAAGTCCGAGACTCCAACAAGTGGTAGGAGATGAAGTATCTGAAAGTGATGTGATAAATTTCCCCATTTTGCATGAATCGGGGATCCCAGACAAATGCTTTGATCTGAACAATTGACTGCAATTCGTAAATACCAAAGGCCTTACAAATATGACAAATGCGTAAGAATATGACAGGGGTGGGGCGACTAGCAGGTGGGATGCTGATTAAGGCACTGGACTCCCACATAGCTGACTGTGGTTCGAGTCCCAAACCTGGTGGCTTGAAATTCACGCCAGGTGCATGTGCATGAGTACCCAAAATCCACAGAGGAGAATGGAGGAGGAGGGACTGTGGTGTGGCCATCCCCTCAGGGCGTGATTTCTCACACTGCCTCTCTCTGTCTCTCTAGGGAGTGCATGCACCACATGGTAAAAACATAATAAATGAATAAATCAATAAATAAGGTGAGGGGGAGGATCTTGTTCATGACCAAAGCCTGCAACCTGGCCTTAAAATTATGTTTAGGGGGACCAGCAGTTAGTATAATGGCTATGTCACTGGACTCCCACGTAGTCGACCACGGTTCACATCCTGGACCCGGTGGCTTAAAACTCATGCCAGGTGTGTGTGCGTGCGTGCCCAAGACCCCGAGAAAAGGAGAAGGGACTGTGGCGTAGCCATTCCCCCGGGGGGTGATTTCTCGCTTTCTGTCTCTCTGTCTCTCTGTCTGTTTGGCAAGCGCACATGCCCTATAGCAAAAACCTCTCCAAAAAAAAAAATTATGTTTGGGGAACAGCAGATGGCGTAATGGTTACATCTGTGGACTCCCATGTAGTCGACTGTGGTTCAAGTCCCGGACCTGGTGGCTGAAAAAACTCATGCTGGGTGCATGTATGTGCATGCCCCAGATCCTGAGAGGAGAATGGAGGAGAGAGGATTGTGATGTGGCCTTCCCCCAGGGGGGGGTGATTTCTCACTTTTGGTCTCCAGCAAGCACATGTACCCTATAGGGAAAAAAAAAAATCAATAAAAACAAAACAAAACAAAAACTGTTGTTTATGGGGGCCAGCAGGTGGTATGGTAGGTAAGGTACTGGACTCCCACATGGCTGACCACAAGAATGACCCCCCAGAACTGGTGGCTTGCTTTCTCACTTTCCCTCTCTCTCTGGTAAGCACATGTGTCCTCTAGCAAACTTAATAATAAATTAAATAAAAAAGTCATTTAAAAACAAAACCTGTCATGGTGAAAGACACCAGCGTGGCCCTGCCATGTCCCTAAGAGACAGCAGCAGGATGGTAGGACTGCAACCTGCAAGAATCTACGTGTCAGAAGGGTCTGAGTTCTAGTCCCGCCTCTTGACACCAAAGCACACCTAAGAAAGTCCTTTACTCATTCTAAGTCACAGCGAGCCTCCTGCAAAACACAAGCGTGATCCTAAGATTTCCCATCTATCCAACTCTCCAGATTCCGTGCCTACCAAAACGGCTTGTTGTGTTAAATGCTTTCTAAGTGCCAGGTCACATGGTAAGCCTTTCACGGGCCTTTCTTCCAAGAGGGCCTGGGACTAGGGTGAGCCAAAACAGACATCCTGGAGACAAGATTTAATGGAATGAGAGTGCCAAGAAATTCAATATTCGAGATGTGTATTCTTTTGGGGGCAGGCAGGTGGCATGGTGGCTAAGGGCACTAGACTCCCACGTGGTCTACCACGGTTCGCATCCCGGACTGGGAGGCTTAAACTCACAATGGGCATGTGTACGTGCATGCCCAAGATCCTGAGAGGAGAATGGAGGAGAAGGGATTGCGGCGTGGCCATCCCCCTTGGGAGATGATTTTTCCCTTTCTGTCTCTGTCTCTCTGTCTTTCTGGTGAGTGCATGTGCCCTATAGCAAACACCTCTCCTGAAAAAAAAATTTTTTTAATTAAAAAAAGGTATATATGATTTTCACGTCGTGCTTAAGAAAACACAAAATGAATCCACTTCCACATCCTGAATGAACAAAACTTACTTAAAAAATTAGTATCTGAGTCCCATAGCAGAACTGACCCCTGCCCTCTACCCCCAAACCAACCTCTCCCCTCTTTGCAAAAACCCCGAAAACTGGCCCCAGAGGGTGGGCTCGACCCAGTCAGTCCCCTTTTTCCAGGCGAAGCTGAGGCTCCAAGAGGCTCCACATCCCGTGCAAGGTCACCTGGCTGGGGATGGCTGGGGAGGGGCAGCCGGGAGGGGGGGGTCCACCTCCAGCCCAGGGGGCCCCCTGCGGGTGGGGAGGAGCCCCGAGGGTACCTCTGGCTCTTGAACTCCTTCATGATCTCCAGGAAGCCGTTGTAGGTGGCGGGGTCGCTGCCGAAGCGGATCTTCACCTGGTCCAGGTAGGTCAGCGCGTCCTCCACCTGCAGCGGGGGACAGGGTCTGGGTGGGCTGGGCTCATTGGGGCCTCGGGG